GATTAACAGCCGAGTCAAAAACAATTTATCATGTTTCCCGACAGATAAAATCCACCAACACCACCTTTACACAACCGTATTTACATGAAAAAAATACAATGAAAAAACTGGAGTCCCTAAACTAATTAATTATAAACTTTTTTCCATACGACCGCCCACAGGAATGCGGTACATGAAAATATTAACATTAAAGAATTGGGGAAAAAATATATATATTATAGTTTACCTAAGAAGATGAGAGAAAACGTAAAATAATTATAGCCTTATAGAGAAAATGGAATTTAAGACCAACTTAATAATTCGCAGATAAAACTGCATGACCCACCCACCCACCTCTGTTAGCAATGGCCCAGTCACCCACCCCTGTCAGCAATGACCCACTCACTCACGCCTGGTGGCCTGGTGGCTAAAGCTCCCGCTTCACACACGGAGGGCCCGGGTTCGATTCCAGGCGGGTGGAAACATTTTGACACGTTTCCTTACACCTATTGTCCTGTTCACCTAGCAGCAAATAGGTACCTGGGTGTTAGTCGACTGGTGTGGGTCGCATCCTGGGGGACAAGATTAAGGACCCCAATGGAAATAATTTAGACAGTCCTCGATGACGCACTGACTTTCTTGGGTTATCCTGGGTGGCTAACCCTCCGGGGTTAAAAATCCGAACGAAATCTTATCTTATCTTATCAGCAATGACCCACTCACCCACCCCTGTCAGCAATGACCCACTCACCCACCCCTGTCAGCACCCACCATAATCAGTGCCCAGGCCAATTCAGAACCCAAATAAAATTCAAAGCTTAAAAAATATTCAGAAAAACTTAATAGACATAGATGAAGTACACAACTGTGTATTAAATATAACCACCAAACCAACCCCATTAAAAAAAAAAAGGCGCTTATTATGAAACAGAAGCCATACTTTTTATCACAAAGCAAAATGAAAAGGGTGAATACGACCCAGTAGAAATAAGTCACTGTCTGATATTTCTGGGTTATCCTAGGTAATTTACACATGGTACTATACAATACAATTGTAATATCTAAAAAGAAAGTAAAACTGAATTTAAACAAAATTACCCACACCCACAGGAGCTATGACTCGACCCCTTGCAATCACAATTACGCGAGTGCCCAACCATGTCACCCAGACACAGCCCGATGTAATTTTAACAAATTTGCTATACCTGGAGAGTTTCGGGGGTCAACGCCCCCGTGGCCTGGTCTGTGACCAGGCCTCGCGGTGGATCAGGGCCTGATCAGCCAAGCAGTTACTGCTGACCACACGTAGACTGACGTACTAACCACAGCCCGGCTGGTCAGGTACTGACTTTAGGTGCCTGTCCAGCGTCTTCTTGAAGACAGACAGAGGCCTATTGGTTATCTCCCTTATGTATGCTGGGAGGCAGTTGACGAGGCTTTTGCCCCTGACAATTTTTGTGTTTTGTTTGTGTACTCGTGGCGTCCCTGCTTTTCATCGGGGGAGTGTTGCATCTCTTGCCGAGTCTTTTGCTTTCATAGGGAGTGATTTTCGTGTGCAAGTTTGGTACCAATCCCTCTAGGATTTTCCAAATGTATATTATCATGCATCTTTCCCGCCTGCATTCCAGGGAGTGTAAATCAACGAACTTCAACCGTTCCCAGTAATTTAGGTGTTTTATCGTACTTGTGTACCCTGAAGGTTCTCTGTACACTCTCCAGGTCAGCAGTTTCACCTGCCTTGAAAGGTGCTGTTATTGTGGAGCAATATTCCAGCCTAGATAGAATAAGCGATCTGAAGGGAATCATCATGGGCTTGGCATATATTAACTTGACATTTCTCTATATTTCACACACGTATATGGATGCTCCAAATTTTGTGGTCAACACAGCTTTTTCCAGGAAACGCCCTCTATCAATGCTCCTTGATGCTGATGAACGGCTCTTGATGCAGAGAACTGCAGCTATGAAAGCTGAGAAGGTGGTCATTATTACACATAACATTGACTAAGAAGGTAATTAATACTTTGGTTAACAGTGATAGATTTTGTATTTGAATTCTATATTCCATATACAAGCTACATGAATCCAAACACACTTACAGGATTAGGGCAAGAAGTAGTAGAAATAGTAGAAATAATAGAAGAAGTAGAAGTAGTAGTAGTAGTAGCAGTAATGGTGGTGATTATGATGATTAATATAATTTTTAGTGTGTGCAGTATCTTTTAAACTACAGTAGACTCATTTAGCACGAGTTTATTTGGCACGATTTGGGTATAGCACGATTGAAGAATTGCTTCACAATTTTATGTAACACGTGGTATGATGAATTTAACATGGTTCAGTTTGCAGGAAGGAAAAAAAAAAATCCCTTTTCCTCAAGCGGCCATTACCTTTGTAAATTGTGAATTCATTACCTCTGTAACTTGCTCAGCTATCAAAACTTTGAGGCCCAGTCCCTGGACCAATTATGTACCTCTGTAATCTTTTGACTACCGCCCACAGGATGGGTATGGGGTGCATAATAAACATATTAAACTAACTAACTCAAGCGGCCGCCTTGTTGTGGTTTAGCTGGGGAGACCTCCCACCGTCTCCAGCCATCCCCCGACACCATCCCACCATCAAATCATTTGTACTGAATTCATACGTGTCCAGTCCAACTTCTCTGCTACAAGCTTGTGATTGTGAATTGTGTTTTGATCTTTGAATTGCTATATTTTGTATCTGCCAAGCAATCATGACACCCAGAAGGCATACCAGTGTTGCTCAAAGTGGCAAGAAAAGGTGTAAGCATTTAATTAAGTCTTAGAATTAACGAGGGAAACAAAGATATTAGACTGACTGACTTACTGAATGAATGACTTACTGAATGAATGACTTACTGAATGAATGACTTACTGAATGAATGACTTACTGAATGAATGACTTACTGAATGAATGACTTACTGAATGAATGACTTACTGAATGAATGACTTACTGAATGAATGACTTACTGAATGAATGACTTACTGAATGAATGACTTACTGAATGAATGACTTACTGAATGAATGACTTACTGAATGAATGACTTACTGAATGAATGACTTACTGAATGAATGACTTACTGAATGAATGACTTACTGAATGAATGACTTACTGAATGAATGACTTACTGAATGAATGACTTACTGAATGAATGACTTACTGAATGAATGACTTACTGAATGAATGACTTACTGAATGAATGACTTACTGAATGAATGACTTACTGAATGAATGACTTACTGAATGAATGACTTACTGAATGAATGACTTACTGAATGAATGACTTACTGAATGAATGACTTACTGAATGAATGACTTACTGAATGAATGACTTACTGAATGAATGACTTACTGAATGAATGACTTACTGAATGAATGACTTACTGAATGAATGACTTACTGAATGAATGACTTACTGAATGAATGACTTACTGAATGAATGACTTACTGAATGAATGACTTACTGAATGAATGACTTAATGAATGAATGACTTAATGAATGACTTACTGAATGAATGACTTACTGAATGAATGACTTACTGAATGAATGACTTACTGAATGAATGACTTACTGAATGAATGACTTACTGAATGAATGACTGACCGAATGATTTGCCTGACTTACTGAACTTGACTGACTGACTTAATGACCAAGTTAAGCTCCAGTACAGCCATCAACTTCAGTTCAGAATTGTGTTTTGATCTTTGAATTGCTATATTTTGTATCTGCCAAGCAATCATGACACCCAGAAGGCATACCAGTGTTGCTCAAAGTGGCAAGAAAAGGTGTAAGCATTTAAGTCTTAGAATTAACGAAGGAAACAAAGATATTAGACTGACTGACTTGCCGAATCAATGACTTGCCGAATCAATGACTTGCCGAATCAATGACTTGCCGAATCAATGACTTGCCGAATCAATGACTTGCCGAATCAATGACTTGCCGAATCAATGACTTGCCGAATCAATGACTTGCCGAATCAATGACTTGCCGAATCAATGACTTGCCGAATCAATGACTTGCCGAATCAATGACTTGCCGAATCAATGACTTGCCGAATCAATGACTTGCCGAATCAATGACTTGCCGAATCAATGACTTGCCGAATCAATGACTTGCCGAATCAATGACTTGCCGAATCAATGACTTGCCGAATCAATGACTTGCCGAATCAATGACTTGCCGAATCAATGACTTGCCGAATCAATGACTTGCCGAATCAATGACTTGCCGAATCAATGACTTGCCGAATCAATGACTTGCCGAATCAATGACTTGCCGAATCAATGACTTGCCGAATCAATGACTTGCCGAATCAATGACTTGCCGAATCAATGACTTGCCGAATCAATGACTTGCCGAATCAATGACTTGCCGAATCAATGACTTGCCGAATCAATGACTTGCCGAATCAATGACTTGCCGAATCAATGACTTGCCGAATCAATGGGCTTGCCGAATCAATGACTTGCCGAATCAATGACTTGCCGAATCAATGACTTGCCGAATCAATGACTTGCCGAATCAATGACTTGCCGAATCAATGACTTGCCGAATCAATGACTTGCCGAATCAATGACTTGCCGAATCAATGACTTGCCGAATCAATGACTTGCCGAATCAATGACTTGCCGAATCAATGACTTGCCGAATCAATGACTTGCCGAATCAATGACTTGCCGAATCAATGACTTGCCGAATCAATGACTTGCCGAATCAATGACTTGCCGAATCAATGACTTGCCGAATCAATGACTTGCCGAATCAATGACTTGCCGAATCAATGACTTGCCGAATCAATGACTTGCCGAATCAATGACTTGCCGAATCAATGACTTGCCGAATCAATGACTTGCCGAATCAATGACTTGCCGAATCAATGACTTGCCGAATCAATGACTTGCCGAATCAATGACTTGCCGAATCAATGACTTGCCGAATCAATGACTTGCCGAATCAATGACTTGCCGAATCAATTGACTTGCCGAATCAATGACTTGCCGAATCAATGACTTGCCGAATCAATGACTTGCCGAATCAATGACTTGCCGAATCAATGACTTGCCGAATCAATGACTTGCCGAATCAATGACTTACCGAATCAATGACTTACCGAATCAATGACTTACTGAATCAATGACTTACTGAATCAATGACTGACCGAATTATTTGCCTGACTTACTGAACTTGACTGACTGACTTAATGACCAAGTTATGCTCCAGTACAGCCATCAACTTCAGTACCAGAACTTCTACCATCCACCTCAGCCCAGTAGGGTCACAGCATAACTCCACTCTCTTCACAATCATTCACAAACACCAGCACCCACAATTTAAGATAAGAAATATTGTTATTTCTGTTACATTTGTAGTCTTAAGCAGTGAAAACAACTTAATACATCATAATGAACTATGATTACATATTCACTTTTATTTTTGTAAAATGTGGAGGCCTAAGAAAAGTTGTTTGGCTTTTTTGGGGCTCTCAGGAACGTACCCTATTTTTTCCCATAAGTTCTTCAGTTCATCTAACACGGTTTTACCTAACACGGTTTTACCTAACACCGTGTTTTCAGGAACGTAACTACAGTGTTAAATGACGGTCTACTGTACATAAATTTCAATAAAGACCAAATTTTATTCCAGAGGAAGCACTAAACCTGTAAGAAAAATACAGCGTCTGGAGAGTGGGAGGTAACGGGGTTGAGGTAAGGAAGGGAGGGTAGCTCAAATACACTGGATGATGAACCTCTCACCAGCATGAAGACGCCTTTTCATCCTTACATAGGCACCAGATAAGACAAGTGCATGATTATCTTTTTTATAGCTGTGAGGTAAAATTTAGGATTAAAACTGTACCTCCTATTCTTCAGGCACTGTTTGATTCTTATGGGTTTAGCGCTTTCCCAAATGAATAAACAATATTAATGATACGAGAAACTCTGAAAAACTCGCATGTAGACAGAAATATTAAGACAATATGCTGCGACCTTCTTCTGAGACCTTCAGCTGTCAACACAACTTTTTTTACACTGTCTACCCGTGGGTTGCTCAATATATTGACAGGTGTCCACATTATTTTGATGTTTTATAACTAAAATTAGAATAAATCACAGAACGGGTGGGGTTTGAACCCGTGGGTTTGAGTCTTACCGCTCCATGATTTGTACAATCATTTTATTATGATTTCGTGAATAATAATAATAATAATAATAATAATAATAAACATTGATGGGCGCCCTGTACCTCTCTCGAATCATTGCCAGGTTTATGTTATGTTTCAAGAGCTCTTGATAGTGTTCCCATTTTATCGGGACATTGATAATTTATTATTCACCTTCTATGCCTTGCCAGGCTTTGCTCTCCACTGAGAGAGAGATCTTAATGGAAAGCCAATAAATGGCTTTCCATCCGTACTTGATACATTGCGCCATTAGTGAAAACCTGATATATTATTCATATGATACATGTACGATCGTATTATTTGGCTGGTTAACTTGATTTAAAGCTTGTGTATTACACGATGACCATTACGAGTTTATGTCAACTGGATACAACAAGTGAATGATAACTTTAATACCTATTTTAAGGGTTAAACTCGGTTTATAAACGCAGAGATAAACATCTCTCGGTGTACATACAGTTCATTTATAGTGTGACTGTTGATAACTGTTAAAAATCTTGACTTATGGTTTAGTAAATTTAACAAAACAGCAGTGACTGAAGGCTAACATTTGCATACAACACAAATGCTGCAGACACTTAGAGATATTTCTAAGACATGAATACTGATAACACTTATAAATTAATTAAAGACTATTCTCAGGCGAATTATTTAAAATGTTGAATAAGAAAACCACTGATACAATGTACATCTCTGCTCCCTTGACCTTCAGTCTGTTCTCCGAGTTCAAGCGAGGCCAGGTCGTAAGAAACAATATTATGGAATTATTGAAAATCTGCAATAGTATATTTGATACAATGGCTAGTATTCCTGCATAGGTTTGTGTGGGATATGACTTGCATTATAACATCACTCAGTCGTAGAGGTCTGGACGTTGTCTTGGTGGCTTTCTGCGAGAGGAGTGAAGAACAAGGACTTCTGGTCCTGGAGAAGTCAGGTCACTAAGCGGGATAATCTCTCCTCCTAGTGGCAACAAACTCGAGCCCTCCTCTACACTGTTTACTCCACACCTGTATAATGTCGAACCTGTTAATAATTATAATAATAATAATAATAATAATAATAATAATAATAATAATAATGAGTATTATAATAAAAAAGAAACGCTAAACCACAAGCGCTACCTGTTATTCAGTGCTTCGTATTTTTACAATTATAAAAGTATATAATGAATCCTAAATAAATACTGATTGTCAGTTGTAAATTTCATTGTAGAATATATTCTTTACTGAACAAGGATGGTACTATAATGTTGTTGAAGGGCTTTTGATTCAATGGGCTGGAGGACCCTCAGAGGTTCCTTGATGCCAGTGAGGGACTAAGTCATGGAACTGGATTTATCCTCCCATTTCTCAGGTGCTATATGACTTTGTGTTTAGCATTTTCCCGTCATTAAAAAATGAATTGGAGTACTCTTTCTTTTCATTAACTAAAACATGACCACCTCCCATTTCCCCAAATGCTGTAAGACCGCTATGAATGAATATAATGCCGTCCTTTGGAAATCTCAACCAACAAGTAATCGACATACTTACATTGTCATATTGCTTTCCATCTTGTGCTGACACGGGCTCTCGTGAGTGAAGTTCAGAATATTGGTAGTGTTAGAAGCAGGTAAGTAGCCTGGCTGGTGATTGTCGTGGTTGGTGACGGACATGAATATAGTGGCAGTAACATCACCAGACTTGACTACCACCGCAGCCTCCCCAGTAAGACTCGCTGCTGCTGGTATAGAAGGCATAGGGGGCTTATTAAGATATGATATTTTTAACAATAACTGATTAGGAAAGAAAGGATAACCTACTTTAGACCAGTCTACATTAATACAGTCGTGTTGGAGCACTAAACCCATTGGGATCATACAACGTCTGGGTGAATGGTTGGAATTCAGGCTTGATTCAAGAAATTGGAGCAGTGGTTCAGGTACACAGGTGCAGGTAGATTCGCCAGGACCTGGCCTGGGTCTTCTCCATGTGGTCCTCTTCAAGGGGGGGCTCCTTGGTGTGGTGAAGAGGCTCTTGGTCTGAGGAATTAGACCTGTTGGTCTCCTTCCTCAGACCGAACCTAATTACTCCCCAATTCCCCCTTCCCTATCCCATCCTCCCTTTTTCCTGTCCTCCTCCTCCTCCCCATCCCTCCCATATTTCCTTCCTCTTTTTGGCCTTTGGGATTCTTCCCACAGGCATACTAGTTCCTAGGTAGGGGGAAGGGTACCGGGGTCCATCCCATTCCATTGAAGTTCTTGGCGGTGGTGTTTACCTGGAGTTTACCTGGAGAGAGTTCCGGGGGTCAACGCCCCCGCGGCCCGGTCTGTGACTAGGCCTCCTGGTGGATCAGAGCCTGATCAACCAGGCTATTGCTGCTGGCTGCACGCAAACCAACGTACGAACCACAGCCCGGCTGATCAGGAACTGACTTTAGGTGCTTGTCCAGTGCCAGCTTGAAGACTGCCATGGGTCTGTTGGTAATCCCCCCTGTGTGCTGGGAGGCAGTTGAACAGTCTCGGGCCCCTGACACTTATTGTATGGTCTCTTAACGTGCTAGTGACACCCCTGCTTTTCATTGGGGGGATGGTGCATCGTCTGCCAAGTCTTTTGCTTTCGTAGCGAGTGATTTTCGTGTGCAAGTTCGGTACTAGTCCCTCTAGGATTTTCCAGGTGTACATAATCATGTCTCTCTCCCTCCTGCGTTCCAGGGAATACAGGTTTAGGAACCTCAAGTGCTCCCAGTAATTGAGGTGTTTTATCTCCGTTATGCGCGCCGTGAAAGTTCTCTGTACATTTTCTAGGTCGGCAATTTCACCTGCCTTGAAAGGTGCTGTTAGTGTGCAGCAATATTCCAGCCTAGATAGAACAAGTGACCTGAAGAGTGTCATCATGGGCTTGGCCTCCCTAGTTTTGAAGGTTCTCATTATCCATCCTGTCATTTTTCTAGCAGATGCGATTGATACAATGTTATGGTCCTTGAAGGTGAGATCCTCCGACATGACCACTCCCAGGTCTTTGACGTTGGTGTTTCGCTCTATTTTGTGGCCAGAATTTGTTTTGTACTCTGATGAAGATTTAATTTCCTCATGTTTACCATATCTGAGTAATTGAAATTTCTCATCGTTGAACTTCATATTGTTTTCTGCAGCCCACTGAAAGATTTGGTTGATGTCCGCCTGGAGCCTTGCAGTGTCTGCAATGGAAGACACTGTCATGCAGATTCGGGTGTCATCTGCAAAGGAAGACACGGTGCTGTGGCTGACATCCTTGTCTATGTCGGATATGAGGATGAGGAACAAGATGGGAGCGAGTACTGTGCCTTGTGGAACAGAGCTTTTCACCGTAGCTGCCTCGGACTTTACTCTGTTGACGACTACTGTGTTCTGTTTGTGAGGAAATTATAGATCCATCGACCGACTTTTCCTGTTATTCCTTTAGCACGCATTTTGTGCACTATTACGCCATGGTCACTTGTTGAAGGCTTTTGCAAAGTCTGTATATATTACATCTGCATTCTTTTTGTCTTCTAGTGCATTTAGGACCTTGTCGTAGTGATCCAATAGTTGAGACAGACAGGAGCGACCTGTTCTAAACCCATGTTGCCCTGGGTAGTGTAACTGATGGGTTTCTAGATGGGTGGTGATCTTGCTTCTTAGGACCCTTTCAAAGATTTTTATGATATGGGATGTTAGTGCTATTGGTCTGTAGTTCTTTGCTGTTGCTTTACTGCCCCCTTTGTGGAGTGGGGCTATGTCTGTTGTTTTTAGTAACTGTGGGACGACCCCCGTGTCCATGCTCCCTCTCCATAGGATGGAAAAGGCTCGTGATAGGGGCTTCTTGCAGTTCTTGATGAACACAGAGTTCCATGAGTCTGGCCCTGGGGCAGAGTGCATGGGCATGTCATTTATCGCCTGTTCGAAGTCATTTGGCGTCAGGATAACATCGGATAGGCTTGTGTTAATCAAATTTTGTGGCTCTCTCATAAAAAATTCATTTTGATCTTCGACTCTCAGTCTGGTTAGCGGCTTGCTAAAAACTGAGTCATACTGGGACTTGAGTAGCTCACTCATTTCCTTGCTGTCATCTGTGTAGGACCCATCTTGTTTAAGTAGGGGCCCAATACTGGACGTTGTTCTCGATTTTTATTTGGCATATGAGAAGAAATACTTTGGGTTTCTTTCGATTTCATTTATGGCTTTTAGTTCTTCCCGCGATTCCTGACTCCTAAAGGATTCTTTTAGCTTAAGTTCGATGCTTGCTATTTCTCTGACCAGTGTCTCCCTACGCATTTCAGTTTGCCATGGAATCTGGATTGCCTGGGGATGTCCCAATCCCTCTCCAGTCTCCTGGGGGGTGGCTTTGGGTGTCTTTTGGGTGACGAGTGTATCTCTGGAGGCCACCTTTCAGATTCCAGGGGTGATGGCTGAAGGAGGTATGCTTTGTGGTGGATATCCGGCCGCCCTCTCTCCTGTCCACTGAGGTAGCTCGGCAGATGTGAGGTTGCTATCGCAGACTGCTGGTTTACTGGCATGAAGGGTAGGGTTTGGCACTGGTTCCATGCTGCATCTGCACTACTTGTGGTGCTGAGGTCCTCTTGGGTGCAGAGGGAGATTTCCGGTCCTTTCATTCCTCCTAGGAACTATTCCTCCCTGCTCCCCCCCTTTATTTTTTTCTTTACTTTCTTTTTTTTTTCTTAAAAACAAAAAGAAAGAAGTAACCTAACCATGGAGGACCCAATCCATGATCCTGCTACCCCCATGCCCCTTCTTGTTACTGCACCCTGTTCTGACCCTGCCTTATTTTTTGACCACTCTTCAGGCACTTCTAATGCCCCTGTACCTCTTGCTGGTGCTGTTTCATCACCCGCTTCAGGTACCGGGGTTTTGACTGACTCCTTCGATTTGTCTGACCTCCGCTCTCCTTTGGCCATGCTTCCAAATCGCCAGCCCATCCTACGTCGGACCAACTCTGGTCTCACTCCTAAATTCCAACGACATTTGCCTGATGATACTTTTCTGCCACCTTCTCGTTCTACTCAGAAAAGACCAACACATCATGCACTCCCTTTCCACGCTCAGTTTTGGAATGCACAATGGACTAAATTCTTTACTTTATGACCAACTTCCTCTATTGTCTGTCTTTCTGACCATAGTATTGGCAAGGCACTCCTACGCCATGTTGGTAGATATTTTTCCTTTTACACTCTCAAGAGCGATACACACATCATCACTGTCCAGAATGCTACCCAAGCTCATGATCTTTCTCTTCTTTCACATATCGATACTATTCCTGTCACTATCGAAAAACATCATTCCCTCAATTCTTGTAGTGGTACTGTCATTCTGCCCCATACCATAGTCCAACAATTTCCAGACGTAAGGCAATGACATTCTCGAACAGCTGGAACTCCAAGATCTCCCAATCCTCAAAGTAAATACTTATGTTCTTCCTGCCCACAGGCAGAGATGATGCCCTTGCAATGTGGCTCGATTAACTTTCGACAGCCGAGAACTCCCATCCTCTGTTTATGTAGCAGGATGAACATCAAAATGGTATACAATACCGACAGGTTGTTAGATAAGACACATATGCAACTGTTAGGCAACTTTATTCCGAAACGTTTCGCCTACACAGTAGGCTTCTTCAGTCGAATACAGAAAGTAGGCAGGAACAGTAGAGATGTGAAGACGATGTAATCAGTCCATCACCCTTGGATGGGTGATGGACAGATTACATCGTCTTCACATCTCTACTGTTCCTGCCTACTTTCTGTATTCGACTGAAGAAGCCTACTGTGTAGGCGAAACGTTTCGGAATAAAGTTGCCTAACTGTTGCATATATGTAGCAGGATATTGTTTACAAGTTCGAAAGGTGAACCCTACACCACAACAGTGTAGAAATTGCTGGCAGTTTGGTCACCCAGGGAAATACTGTAGATCTATAGCCGATTGCCCAGTCTGTGGTGCTGATGACCATTCTAATACGTCTTGTAGCTGACCTCCCTCTTGCCTTAATTGTCATGACGCTCACCTTTTGTACTCTCGCCATTGCCAGGTCTACTTAAATGAGCGATAAATTCGTTGCCTCAAATAGGCAGAAGTCTCCCTTATGCTATGGCAGTTTCTCATCTACGCCTCCAAGGGAGATTACCCCATATTTCTTATTCTCGTGTTTCTAAATATCCCCTCATTTCTGGGGTCCCATCTTCTGCAGCCTCCTCTGTGGTTACCCCTCCCATAATCACTCCTGTCTCTAATTCTTTTGCTGTCTTGGGCTCAGAAGTCCCTACTTCAACACCTCAGTCTGTTCTCACTACGTGTTCTTCCTCACAAGCCCCAGTATCGACAAGACCTCGTACGACACCTCCTCCCAATTGCCCCTCTACTTCTCAGAAGTCCAAAAAATCCCCATTACTCAAATCTCCTTTAACCCCTCCTTCCTTTCTTCCACCTCCACATTTTACCTTTCCAGTCTCTGTACCTGGTTCTTCCCCTCTCAATGGCTCTGTTACAAGTGCGGAGGTTCACCTTCCTCCTCGTACCGGGCCTTCCTCCCCTGTCCCCTCCCAAGTTCCTTCCTCTTCTGCCACCTCCCATGTTTCTACCTCTTCTGTCCCCTCCCACACTTCTCCAGTTCCGTAAAGTAAAAGGACACAGGAACTTTGTCAAGCCAGCTTAACAAAGCTCCTGGAGAGCAAAACGTTGCCACAATAAAAATATCACATTAGTTGCACTTGT